AGCGTGGCCATTGCCAGTATCACTACACCCCCTGTTAACAATAGGTGTTAATTAGGTGTCAACGATAGCCATGTGATGTGAGTATCAGTCACATGGAGGCAGTGCTCAAAAGCCTGAATTTTGACTGAAGAAGTCTCTTGGAGGAGAGACGAAACGTTTCGTTAGAGAAGAACCCGTCCAGAGGACCTATACAAGTTTTTCCTTTTGATTTTTTACCTGGATTACTGAGATGCATCAGGACAATGTATTTTAGTATTTCTGATACTTTAAATATGTCATTTACAGTATATACAAATTAAATAATTTGGGGCCCAACACTGACCCCTGCGGGACTCCACAAGTTATGTTTAATGAATCTGATTTTTGATTATTTCTACAAAATGTTTCCTTTGTCCAATGTAGCTTCTAACCCAGTTTAATGCTACTCCTCTAATTCCATACTTTCCAGTGTTTTTAGTAAGATGTCATGATTAATAGTATCAAAGGCTTTAGCTGTTATCGGACTTAAAGTTAGCAAAACCTATTTAGAGGAAGCTAACTGGTCTGCTAACAGTTTTCAAAGTTAGCAAAAAAAAGATAATCTTAACAAAAAATACCGGATGTTATGCTATTAGCTGCTTAGCAGGACCATGCCCACTACTGTCGTGTAGTAACCTTAACCAGATTAGTTGGTTTAAACTGATAACCTGAGTCAAACTACCTGGTGTTGGCTCAGTCCAAATATAACCAGAGCTGGGGTTACAAACTTAGCTTCTATGAAACATGAATTGTGCATTGAGAAATGAGCTCAAACAGAAAGCACATTTTTTAGAATTTTATTATTAATGAATCAAACAAGAGAACTGCACCATTCGTTGGTTTACATAATCGTTACATCGAATGGAAACACAGAACAGAACCACAGTCTTCATGTCCGCACACCGGAGTCGCTGGATGATATTTTCATTAAAAAAAGGGAAGAGTCCATCACATATGTTTCTTTTCTTTGGCAGCTTTGAATCGTGAAGTCGAGGAAAAAGCAAAGAGATTCTGTAACGAGGCAGCTTTAAGAGTTCCAGAACCAGTTTGTGTTTTTTTCTTTTCTTTTGGGTGTCCTCGAGACGTCCCCTTTGAGTCTTGGACCGGAACAAGAACTTTAAAGTCGGAGGCTACTGTAGAAGCGACGCAGGCACTTTCAAGACATCGACACAAACGTACGATCTGGTACAACAGTCATGCAGTGGTACAAAGATTAATCCAGAAAAAAATAAAATAAAATAAAATCCCAGTTTTTAAAACTTCAAACACCTGTGCAGCAGAAATCAAAACGGAGGAACCAACTTTTTAACATCAGGCTGTTTTTATGTACAGACTTACAGAAATATATACATCTACCAGTTAGGTGGTCTTTAGCTATCGAGCTTGTCCACAGCTTTGGGTGAGGGCAAAGCCATCCAGTTTGCATAAACACTATCATTGGCATATCTTGTAACGACTGGATTAGTGGCATCGTGTCTGCTGAGCGGTACCGGGCTCTTCTCGGGCCAGTTCGGGTATGACATGCCTAAAAACGAGAACATATCATTTGTCTGCACTCAGTGAAAGGTAAACAGTGTGCAGACAGTAAGGCTCTCAAATCCACCTCTGTGGGGTTTCACTTCCTGTCATAATTATTTATTAGATTTTTGAGGTTTTTTATGTCTTCCAGTAACGGTTGAGAACTGCACATGTATCTGCTCGTGTTTAAGCGAAGTTGACAGAGAGTTGAATTCAAAGGCCTTACTGTTTCTGTGTTCAGCGGGGGTGGAACGAGACGTTTAACCCACGAGACCAGATTTCAGCTGTTTTTAAACTTTTCAGCAGATTCTAGCTGTGAAATCTGCAGAGGGCTGCGGAAACTCTCAGGACTTTAGAGTGAAAATATTCATATTTTCATCACAAATGAAAAAACGCTCAAAAACAGCATGTGTGGAATGAGGGGTACAGTCCAATTTATTTATTTATTTATTTATTTATTTATTTATTTATAAATGAGTTGATCAACTCATTTCCTGTTAAACTCAACAAATCAAGAGTTTCAAACTTTGTTTTTCCAGCTTCAATTTCAACAAATCACTGTGTGAGCGTAGCATCGTCTGCATAAAATGTGCAGCAAAGACTCTTCCTCTTCAGCACGTAGCTACAGAGGCTGAAGGGAGGAGCTTAATGGATGTGCCACATGGTCCTAGTGCCTGACCTGTAGTGGTGGGCACAGCTAACCAAAAAGTTAGCTTAGCTAACTCCTAATCCACKAATTAAAAATATGGCTTCACTAAGGATAAACATGGAATAAAATTAGCAAAAGCTAACACTAACAGCTAATTGCTAGCCGCTAAGACTCCTTCGAGCTAAAGACCGGAGGGATTGACACAAACCTGTTGATAATAGCTTGTTAGTGGGTGTAAAGTTAAAAAGAATTAGCAAAAGTTAACACTAAACAGCTACACAATTATAAATTATTGGAAGCTAACACTAACAGCTAATTGCTAACTGCTAAGTCGACTGTCACTCAGTCTGCATCACAAGATTCCTAACTCAATCCACCAACAAAAATTATAGCTTCGCTAACACTCAGCATGTCAATATAAATTAGTGGAAGCTAATGCTAATTAAGTAGAAACTAATGGAAACTAACACTAACAGCTAATTGCTAATCGCTAAGACAACGGTTTGTCGTCTTTGTCTACTTCCAGCTGAAGACTGGTGGGACTGACAAAAACTGGTTTAGCTGTTAGCGCACTTAAAGCTAGCAAAACCTAATTCAACAGAAGTTAATTGGTCCAACAACGGTTTTCAAAATGAAAAAGCTAATCTGCTATTTGTTCTGTTATTAGCTATTAGCTGTTAGCTGATTAGCGTAACCATGCTCACCACTGCTGCTCGTTTGTGTGGCTGGATTTAATGATTATTTCACCAGTTGAAGTCRTGAGAGATTTGCTATTTTTGGTTTGCAAGTCGGTTTTCAACTTGTTGAGAAGTCTGGGGATGTTTTTAGTCTCGTTGCACCCCCTTTCTGTTCAGCATCGTGGTTTCAGAACAGTTCAAAGACACAAGAGTGGAGACATTCAGGACAGGCTGAAAACCTGAAAACACGACGAGAGACTGAATCACAGAGGACCTGTTTCAAATGTGACGCTCCAGGGTTGAACAGAAACAAAACAATGAGTGTGACTTGTTTACAAATTGAAATGAGGCACGAAGAACGAATGTGTGTTTTTGGTCGGCGAACATGTACATTAGAAGCAGGTCCAAACAAATCAACAACAATCGTTTTCACTGAGCCTCTCATTTACGGTGAAATGGGAGAAACGTCAGCATTAAACAGCAAAAAGCATGCCTAGATTACACACACACACACACACACACACACACACACACCCTCTGAACACATATTTCCTGTTCTACCAGTGCTGGCTGAAAGTTTGAACAGCGTGCAGCAGGTTGAAGAAATTGTGTGTTTTCTCTTGTGCAGTAATTTTAAAAGAAATGTATGTGCTGTTATCAAACTAAGCCATTTCAAGCTCTAACCTTATTCTGGCTATATTTGTTGTTCTCTATCAGGGGAGGGGAGAAACAGAAAGCAGGAGCATTAACAAGGACGACACAGACAGACAGTGCGCAATATTTCGAGCACTGTGGATTATCTGTCGGGTATCACAGTTCAGATGAGGTCGGACTCAGGGATGCAGGCAGACACAAGAAGCTTGAGTTTAAAGAGAAAAACGTAAAGTTTATTAGAGAAACAAAAAAAAGGTGATGTGGCAGGAAAATAACTCATGAGACACTGAAAAGAACAGGACCAGGCATGACACACACAGGTGGTCTGATGGTCACAGAGAACAGGTGAAGGTAGCAGTGGCAGCAGGGAGGAGCAGACATACAACGTTAAATATCACAAGACTGAGCCCTGCTTGTCTCGTCCTTTGTTAGCATCTGTGTTGTAGAGGAGCAAATATGGCGTCCAAACAGGGCAACAGCTCACAGCCAACAAACTGGATTAACAACAAGCCCAACTGGTTTTGTGTCACAAATTATCTGTAAACTTTTTACAATGAATTAACATAATTGTAAATTCAGCCATTGTGTAAAACAGCCGATGAAATAAGGAAAATACAGCGGGTAAAATAAGTATTGAACACGTCACCATTTTTCTCAGTAAATATATTACTAGAGGTG